TTCACACTCGGGTGGAGGAACCCCGAGGGGAGCCGTGTGGGTCGGGTTTGGGATGAGGAGTGGCTGCAGCTGGTGAGGACCCCCCCGGGCTCAGACGGCCCCTCGGACTATGGGGTAACATCCTGGCATTGCACCCAGGGGAGCAGCAGCCATAAACTAACCTAAACTGACGGAACGTCTTCCACAGGTTTCCCTCTCCCTGAGGAGGTATCCAACCTCCCCCCTCTCTCCCTGAGGGGTTGCTCAGGGCTGAGGCGGGACCAGGGGCCCGGGCAATGGCCGCCGGCCTGAGGGGCCTGAGGGGAACCGGCGGCCCCGCCCGGCTGGGGAAGGCGGGAAGGCGGAAGGCGGGAAGGGAGGAGGCGGGAAGGCGGAAGGCGGGAAGGCGCTGGCCTGGCGGCCGCCGGCACAGCCCCCTCAGCGCCCAGCCCTCACCTCAGCGCCCGATCGCGGCCACAAGGAAACACCCGCGGCCCCATTTTACAGCCTGGCCTAGAAGCAAGGATTGCAGAGACGTTTCAGCTCGCAAATCGTGAGCGAACACAGTGAGCCTCTGGGGATTTGGGTCAGGGAGAGCTGGTAAACGCTTTACTCAATCTCATTTGTGAATTAAGCTAAAGCATGGGCTTAGCATCCATTCTGCAGGTTTAATGAAGTTTTAACTGATGGAGCCTGCCTTTCATTAACTTGGATGAACCTTCTGGAGTGCCCCAGGGTGGGGAACTTCAAAGGACACTTGGTCTGAGGCCCCTGAGAGGCCCCTGGCCGAGCACAAACATCCGTCTGCCAGCTGCCAAGTGATGCCTTAACCCCGCCGCGGCTGGTGGCTCACCAGGGACTGCTGCCTCCCTTCCCTGCCCGCAGGGAAAATGCTCAGCTGTAGCTACTCAGAGATACCCAGCCTTGTGCCTCCAGTGAAAACCAGGCATTGCTCCTGAAGACAGGCAAAGCCTCATTTAAAATCTGCCTGAGACTTGGGCTGTTTCAACAACCTTTTTACAAAAGCTTGATACTTGTGAAAGCAGTATTTCCTCTGCCAAGAGTTTTTTACTCTCACAGGACAGAAGTAACCCAATCTAACAAACTACGTGGAGCAAAAACTCAGAAGATTTACCCAGTTATTTGACAGGCAGAGGAATTGCCTCATTTCGCCTTCTATTTTAGTAACAAACTGCTCTCCTCACTTCCCCGCATTGGACAGGCTGATCTCACCAGTAAGGTATTTTTCCACTCAAGCATCTGCCCAGCCAACTTGGAGCAAGACAGTAGCACCAGGCTGGGTTGTTTTATCGCAGGAGCAGTAATGA